ATTGTACGAATGATATCTCAAACAGGAGTTCAAAGTCTCATAGTAACGAGGAGGTAAAGCACCTTTACAACCGTACCCACCCAATCTGTGGATGGCGGCGTAGTCATAACAATTGATTTCTCCATCGTCATTACAATCCTGCTTGTAACGTGCCATATAGTTTTGTATGGTATTTGCAGCGCAATACGGATCATTTACACAGTTAGGAAAGGCTGGTAAAGCAAATAAAACAAAGCTATTTTAGGATATATTAAAATAAGGAGAATATATAGTTTTCCTTACCCTCTGGTAAATCGGGCGACTCATTACTTAAAGTCAATTTGCCGCCATCAACCCAATAGGCATAAGTAACACGGAAAAGGCCACAAGCACCGTAATTACAGATAGCCGTTTGATTACATCCACTTGTAGCTTCACATAAGCAACCCAAACATACATCAGTTACGGGATTTTCTAAAAATTTTATTAAATAGAAGGAAATCAATTCCGTTAATAATTATCAATAAGCATTTATTCAAATAATAATTGATAAGAATTTATACTCATTAATCCACATATCATATATACAAAAATTATCAATTCTAAGTAATTTCGTAATATTATTCGTAATATAATCTCAAACGATTTGAATAAAAATTCAATTTTCCAAAATTTTGTTTGAGGAGCACTTTTTAACCCACATCTCGTAAGCTTGCCTGGATTTTCCAGTTCTTCGCCTTCTCTCAGTTTTGTTTAACGTGATTTCTTGTTCTTACGTCAATTTCTTGTTTACTTACTTGCTTCCAATTGTGCGTTGGAACATAACATCGATGCCGTTAAGGAAATTATAACAACAAAAACAATAGAAAAGTGAGGTTTATTTTCCATACTTATTTCATTAGTAACCTTTTTAATTCTTGAACAAACCATTTATTCACTGCCGACAACTTTCGATCAATGCAACTGATTTTGTAAAGACAAATGATGAGTATGTTCTTTATCAAAGCTTTTATAAATGCTTTCCATATCAATACATATGCAGATATTGCATATTTCATTACGTCGAAGCTGTGCTCTGCACGCAAATATCAAACAAATATGCTATTTTTAGCTGTTCTATCGCCTACCTGAGGGAAGGAAAATTATCAAATCGTTAAGGATGAAATTTATAGAAAAACAAAGCAAAGTTGATTGATAATTTCTAAATCTAAAAAATTATATTATTGATCAGAGAATTCGCTCATGTGTTGTCTTTTAACATTTAAATGGCAAGCCGGTTGTACAAAATCCTGGCGGGCGGGAACCAATGAATAGCTGAAAGGCCACTCTCGCAGCATTATCGGAAATTTCGACAAAATTAATTTTTAAAAGAAGTTCTTTATATTTTTATACTTTATGCCACTAGTGGTACAAAGACGTACTAGATTTTCCAGGATATATGCAACATCCAGAAGAACTTGGGACAAACCAAACTTTTACTAAGCTTGTCTGTTTATCAGTCCGCCTTATATTTTTGTGTTCAACCTACATGCCGCACATTTTGAGATATATTGGTGAAATTTACATTGACAAGTTCTGGTTCAAGAACGAACCACGTCTTAATTTCCACATAACGCCTTACTTTGAACAGTCGTTCTAAGAAAGAAATGTAATTTTTGGAATTCCGCGACAAAAAATCCTTAACACTAATATTTCGGCATTTTAAATTGCTGTGAAAGTTTTGCAAAACTAGCTCCTTATCTCCTGCAAAAACTAACTCCTTATCTTCTGAAAAAGCCTAATTTTCAATACTTCTCGATGAATATTCGTTCTTAATAATAATTTGATATAAAAATTAACCTTACCAAACTCCACCACAAGATCTATTTTTTATATCACATCAGGTAAAGTAAGTAATGGTGGGCCATGGCCCACTATAATACCAACTTTGACGGCGTAAAGCTTGCAATGATTTTTTTAAACAAATGAAACCTTTTATTTTTCTGCAAAAATGAAAACTGTAAAATGTTAAGCCAATGTTAAAATGCGGCCTTACTCTGCAATATCATTAACTACAGTTTCCATCCTTGAGAACCTAACATAAACGAAAAATAACTTAACGTTTTTAGCTCTTTGCTAACTGACAACATGGAGGACTTGGAAGATTATATTTTCTGCCAATCGACGAAAAACTTGTTTAAGCAAGGGTTTTATAATTATTTCTATTGACATTATGGGATGGGATGAAGTTCTCAACGCGAGAGCAGCTTTCCAACGATGCTCTGACTATAGACTTTCGAGTTTCGCCATATTGCAGCGATGCATGGTTTTGTTATCTAATCATACGTTTCTATGTAACACAAAAAGTAGAATGTTATAGCAATCTAAGCAGGTGGGAAGATAAAAGAGGGAAAAAGAAAGAAGAGATAGAAACAATCCATTTTTTATTTTGAAGTGCCGAAGGCAAACTTTTCATCATCATCATAAAATTCACCTCTTATAGACTAGTTCCGGTGATATCTTCAATAAATACCAATCTGAGTTTGTATGGATACGAGAGGCGAGATACGCAAAAAAAAAGATACGATAATTTAAACCTATGGGAGGAAGGATTTTACCAACGAAAATTTAATTAGTCACCTATTAGAGAGGAGACCGAGAAAGAGATATATGGAAAAAGAGAAGATGTAGAAGGAGAGAGAGAGGGAGTGGAAATCCCACCTCTCATTTCTCTCATAGGCGTAGGATTTAAAACAAGAGATTGAAGAAAAAAAAGATTGAAGATTTTAAAAAAAGATTGAAGATTTTACGGCGTTGATTGTACGGTGCTGGTTATTGAACAGCCTCATTACATTTTTTTTATATATTTATGTTTCAATCTACCCAAGCAGATAATAAACAAATGCTATGGCAAGTAGGTAAGGAAGGTTGATGCCCCCAATGGGAAGAATAAAACAAAACAGATGTCGCGTTTAAACAAACTACTTTTTGAACGACTTTTTCAAATGAATTGATTATGAATATTTTTACAAATTTAATGTATGTTCAAGTGAAATAAATACTTTAATTAATCTTAAGTCACTTATTTAATTTTTTTTTTTTTTGAGCGCGAATCTAAAAAGTCAAATAAATATTGTTGCGGTGAATCGTTTCTGTCGTTATCAACAAGTAGCTCGCCTTGTTAATTATCTGCTTCCTGTTTTGCAACTTTTTAGTAAGAACCTAGACTTGGCTTCAAGCCGCTGCATCCGTTTTTCAACAGTATTCCGAAAAAAAACTCTGAAAAGAACTTGCGGTGATACCTGAAAGTGGTTTATTGAACAAGTTGGAATTTGCCATCATCTCTGATTCATGCAAATCTACAAAAAAAAAAATTTGTTACACAGCTAGTCTTTTTTTCACTATTGACGCTACGTTTTTACGTTTTATTTATGTTTTTTATGACCCTGGCAAGTATCATTACCTGCTTTGATCGTTCTAATATTCTTCGAGATCCATTAAATAAAGGACTGTTTGACAGGCAGTTACGAACTTTATATAAAAAGCACTTTTAAGGCTTTCGAAGAGATTTTAAATCTAAAGAAAGGTTTTCTACGTTTTAGTTTGCAAATATCTTCCCCTTCTGCTGGAGCCTCAAGCGTAATCCCAACTCCTTAGCATGTGGTATAGGTAAACCAGGCTTACAATAGTATCCGCCGAATGATATTTTCAAAAACAACAACAAACAAATTTAAAAAGAAAAAAATAATAAAGTTGTATGTTTAAGATTTGTCTCTGATCAATATAGAAAAATTATACATTATTTTGTTAATTGTACGAGCCAGGTTAAACACGAACGTTTTGTCATCAAAAGTGTAGGCACTCCCCAACAGCATTTGTCCAACATATTTTTATTAATTTCTGCCGTACGTTAAAAGTAATAGCTTCTCGTTTATTTTTCAGCCCCACTATATTACTTTTCATCAGTAACGTTATGCATGCTGATGAATGACGAAGTGGAAATAACTGGTGAAACAAATATATAGCTTATAGATAAGTAGAGGGACACCAACAAATACGATGATGAAAGGGAGTACCACAAAGGAAATGGTAGTTATTAAACTATGAAACAGAAACTAGAAACCAACCAGAAGAAAGGCCAACCAAGAAGAAGAAGGGCAAATAATCAGAGACCAACAAGAGTGCAGGGACTGCATTGCAGTGGAAATTTCAGTCGCACACAAGAAAGCCGGCCCTCAAAGCGGAAGTAAACGGCACGACAAATTTCGAGTGGAGAGTTTAGCAAAGAAACTAAAGACAACTACTCATCTTTAAACTCCAAGCCGCTGGGTTCCCTTTCTATTTATTGAAACGGTTAAGCTCTTATCAATTAAACAGCACAATAGATCGTTCAGGGTTTTGTTTAACTTCATTACCTCAAATGAATTCCCCGTGATGCCTGGTGTACCGCAAGATAGCCACTTAGGAACTATTTTATTTTATTTATACATTAATAATTTGCCCTCGGTGAATAAATCCAGCGAGGTCTTAATGTATGCTGATGATATAAAACTGTTTTCATCCTTTTCCGAATCACATCAATCGCAATCACATCAGCTTCAACGTCACTTGAATAATTTGGTTGCATGGTGCTCTTTAAATCTTCTGAAACTAAATCTAAATAAATATAAGAAGCTTTCTTTCTCAAGAAGAAAGTCATTCATTACTCAGCATTTCATTGATTCGCACAAGTTGGAGGGCGTCGATTCGTTCACAGGTTTAGGCGTTCTATTTGACCATAGGTTGTTTCAACTTCCACATTGAGCTCTCGATAAGCAAAGCTAGGTTCGCACTTGGTCCAAAGGTGGTCGAAAGAGCTTGACATTACGGAAAGGCTATATATGTGTTTGGTTAGACTTATACTCGAGTATGCCTCCGTCGTGTGGTCTCCTTTATATAAGTGCTTCGTAGGTTCAATTGAAACTGTTCAAAAGCAATTCTTGCTTTTTGTCCTTAGGAATTTGGGTTGGAATCCGATTGCCTTTCTTTCCACCTATAAAAATAGGTTGGTTCTGTTGTGCTTACCGTCTCTTGAGAAACGTAGATTTGTTCTTGGCGTTTCCTTCTTAATCAAAGTAATAAATGGTGCTATTGACTCGATTGCATTACTTGGTGTAATAAGCTTTAATGTCCCCCACCGGTTCTCTAGGCATTTTATCTTGATTAAGCTTAATCAATGTAAATACAAATATGAATTTTAACCCGCTCAGAGTTGTTTTCACAAAGCTAAATGACCCAGATTTACTTATGTGGTACTTAAACTAATACTTCATTCTTAATATCTAAATTTTTTAGATAAAATAATATTGTGTTGTTAACGTGTTAGTTGCCAAGCTTATGCATGTTTGCAATGGTTTAGGGGTTCACTTGCAACCTGGATCTGTTCTTCTTGCGGGTGTGCTTCTGTGCTAGCTGTGTACATGCTCTTTTTTATTTTTTCTTTCTTTTTCTCTCTTTTTATTTATTTGTACATGAATTGTTATTTTTAATTTTTTAATTTATTTTTAACTTACTTTGTTATTATTATTCTTCCTTTTTGTCTTCCCTTTCATTGTATACTAGTTTTTAAAACAATTGGTGTAATATTTTCTCTTAAGACGCACTGAATTCGACTGTAATTTTCTTTAGTTGAATTTCATGTATAAAAGGGTAAAATAAAATAAGTAAATAAAAAAAAAAAATGAAACCCTAAAAACATCGAAATTAAACATCGAGACAGAAAGAGCTACGGAAAATAGCCGAAACCGAAAAGCAGTAAACGCTTTTATGAAGCCCTAATGGAAAATTTTCAAAGTTTTTTTATAAAGCAGATATTTTCATTTTTTCTGCGCATATTCGCCATACTACTTGCAGCAATAGTATAGTGCCAC